AGAGACTGGGCGTGGGTGGCTCATGCCCATAATCCCAACACTTTGGGAGGCCAAGGCAGGACGATCATTTGAAGCCAGGAGTTCTAGACCAGCCTGGACAACAGAGTAAGACTCTTATTCCTATCAAGAAACAAAAACAAAACAAGAAGTAGGCTGGGTAAGGGAACAGGTCATCTGATCCAAGGCCTTCCTCTGGTAAAAGAAGAGAATTTCAGAGTGGAGGGTGGGAATAAGTCAATGAATTCCAAGTAGTAAGCCCCACCCAGCACTGTGGCACGCTCCCTGAGGTCAGCAGCATGATAAATGGGCACAGACAGAACAGAGAACACAAAGAACCATGAGCCAGCTAATAAGAACGGTTCTTTCTTGGTATTGGAGTTTACTGTTAGTATTATGCTTCTTTATAATATACTGTATTGTTTATATTATCTTGAGAGCTGGAGGAAATTTATGAAATAAAATTTGTCAGGAAGGAAAAGATAACAGAGTGAGAGAGAGAAGGGGGAAAGAAAAGAGAGAAGCAAGTAGTGGTCTGGTTACTTTAAAAGAAATCAGGACAGTTTATAGACGGCGGGAACTGAATGATAGCAAATCTTGTGAAATATTTTAAAAACTGTCTCTTCATTTTAAATTTCTTAAAAAGCATATTCACACCATACTCCAAGAATATCATATTGCAAAAATTTGCTGCTCTTTGTCAAAAGAGTATAAATGTATTTGATTTAAAACATAATGTTATCGCATTACTTTTGAGATGTTTTCCTTGCTCCTTTTTCTCTTTCAATATAGCAACAGTTAAAAGTAGCCCAAGCAGCACTAATAAATACAAATTTGTTCTAGAAACCAAAGTTCATCTTGCTTTGGTTGAAATTGATGAAGAGAAATGTATAATACTAGAATGAGTTCAGAATTACTGACTCTAACTGAAAAATAAAAAGTTATTAGAATGTAGGAACAATGGACATAAGGCCTGAAACTCTATTGAAGGAAAATACAGAAGTTCTGGTTGGCTAAAGGTCCTTACTGGAAAAGTGTGCTCCAACGTTTTTTACCCCATATTGTATCTGAGCTCCTATTAAAAATAAACTCTTGCAACTTCTCACATGAGAAACAAAGAAACTCTTTTCACAATTTGCTAATAGATTTATTTAAAAATTTGAGTGCCTGTTCTCTTTGTATATATAATAACATTCTCGCCTATCACGGTTAGATATGGGTGAGTCTTTACCGATCAGCTAATAAAAGAATGACTACAGGCACATAATTACTATGCAATCCATAGAAACTAGGGTCTCCAGAAGTAATTTCTCATCCTCTCCCATTTCACAGGCATGTTTCCCTGGAGCTGTAACACTCTGTAAGTGAAGGTGTGGGCATTTCTTGTGAACCTACAAACTTACAAATTTACTTCATGTGCTTGCTGCATAAGCCTCCTGGCAAGCTTCATTTAATTGTTTAATTTAAAAGTATGCAGAATCAGTGCCATAAGCCAAGAGGAACCCAGAACACCCTGTCTGCTACAGTAATGTTTAAATTAGACAAGGGAAAAGATTGCTGCGCTTAATTTGATTAAATAAAGGGGCTTTTGCTGTCAACTACACTGAATGAAACCCTCACCCTCTTTTGAAAAATAGGCATTTTCTTGTAAATGTTTTCGTAAGAAACAAGGTAAAACGTATTTGATTAGTTTCCACCAGCCTATTCTATTTATATACATTGGCAGGCTTTGGGTTATGCTGGGAAATTCTGATGCTGGATCTGCATCTCAGAGAACTACACTGAGTGTATCTTTAATCTACTGAATTATCTCAGTAAAAATAACCTAAATATCTATTTTATTATTTTTCTTGCTGAGCCTAAAGAGAAACTTAAAAAAAAAAAATCAGGGTACATGTTAAATTTACTAATTTACTAGAGTATAAATGTCTTAACACAATAACTAAGAAAAGGCAGTGAAGGCTATGTTAACCAGTTTGATGAAAATATTTCAAATAGTATATAAAACCAGCACATTGTGCCCCATGATTGCATTAATGTACACAGCTATGATTTAATAAAAAAAAAAAAATCACAAATAAATAAAAAAAAAATCACAAAACCATATCCAAATAGGTCTGAAGTAAAGAGGTTGAAAAAGAGAACTTCACTCAAGGTATACAAGGAGAAATGCTCTGAGGCCCAAGAATAGAGGCCTAGAATATACAAACATTTTTGTATGTGTTTTCTAAATGCTTAAATTTACAGAAGAAAGGCTCTACGCCTACAGCACAGTGGTTATGGCACCAGTCACATGCAACAAGGGTGGCAGGTTCAAACCTTGCCTGGGAAGCTAAAACAATGACAATTGCAACAACAACAAAAATAAGATGTTGTGGTGTGCGCCTGTAGTTGCAGCTTACTTGGGAGGCTGAGGCAAGAGAATCGCTTAAACCCAAGAGTTTGAGATTGCTGTGAGCTGTGACACCACAGCACTCTACTGAGGGTGACATAGAGAGATTCTGTCTCAAAAAAAAAAAAAAAAAATTAAAGAAAAAGGAGTTTTTAATTTTGTGATGGTCACTGATTTTGCATTTTTTTCTCAAACTATATTTAAAAGGATGATACTATTGATATTTCTTTTAATGAGCTGTCCTGGGCCAAGAAAAAAAAATTATGAATTACTACATTTATTACATTTATCTATTAATAAAAAAATCACTGACATCTTGCTTTCTACTTGTCTCTCAAAAGCAGCAGGTCTTTACCATATGATCTAGGTTCTTCATTTTTAACAAAATCTTGAAAGCTATTAAGGCCTCAAGCGATTCTCCCACTGTAGCTTCCAGAGTTGCTGGAATTACAGTCATAAGCCACTATGCCCAGCAAAAAGTCACCATTTTAAGAAGTTTGCTTCTATATCTAGATATCCCTAGAAAATATTTGAAAACAAGTGTTTCTTCTTTGTAGCAAAACTGGTTAAATGTTGGAAAAACTACCAAGTCCTGGAAGAATAATGGATTAGATTATCCTGTTCTGCAATTCACTTGGAATCATCAAGTCAGGCGAGGATCATCTGTGAATGCTGAGACTACTGGTGAAAGGCTGCTACACAGTACGATATTCATCAGCTGGCAAACCACTGCCCTAGAGATTATCTACAAACTGCAAAAAAAAAAAAAAAAAAAGATCTGAAGGTCATGGCCTTAACAGAATGGTCAAGCTTAGCTCAGGGATAGTGCTAAAACCTGACATCACAGGCCTCCTGATAGGCAGGACCATGAGGCAAACATTACCTACGAAGCATTTCCCTGCTATGTTTTATTATGAAAATGTTCAAACATATCAAAACATCTAAAGAATTTCATAAATGAAAATCATACTCAGACCACTAAATATTTTGTATCCTGACTTTATCTCATACCTATCCATTTCCCTATATATTCAATCCATTTTATTTTTTGAAGCATTTCAAAGTAAACTGCTGTCATTACATGCCCCCTGAAACAACCTGTAAAGTATTCTTGCCCCAAATAATCAAACTGAATCTAATGAAGCCTTTAATCCTAAATTCCAGTCTACAGAAAATAGAGAGGATTTTAAAAACGTTATTTAACAATAACAATAAATAGAAAAATCCAGAATGTGGGACATTCTGTAAGATTACGTGGTTTAAAAAGTTTGTACTAGATTTAAGCATGTAGGAGACATTCCAATTTGTCAAATTAAAACAGATACTACTTTTTTTTTTAAAAGCTACCAAAGATATTCTTGCAATGACTTAAGAAATGTAACTATGAACTTAATATCACTACAGATGGTACTATGAAATTATTATTAATTTTCTTAGTTATAACAATGGAGACTGTGGTTATGTAAATTATCCTTATTCTTAAGAGATGTTGAATGCACATATATGTGCAAATCTTAAATTCATTTATTTTACAGAGATAATACAAATGTAGTAAAATATTAACAATTATTGTATCTAAGAAAAGGATAAACAGGTATTTACTGTACTAGACGTTTGCATTTTCTGTACATATGACACCCTTCAAAATAGAAACTGGGGGTCAGAATCGATTAAAAGAATTTTTTTGCAGAGAGGTTGATACAATCTATTCTGTTTCATCCTGCTTGGAACTTTGGATTGAAAATGTGATTTTTGGAAAACAAACTTATCACAGACACATAAAAATATATGTTTCTGTTATACTCTATTTCCACCTCAGAGTCAATGCTATTATTACACTTTATTTCCACTGGGGAAAATAACTGATTTAGTCTTTATGCAAAGGCTTTAATGTTGCAGCATTACCAAAAATAGCTCCCTCACAAGCTTACACCTAGAAGCAGGCCATTGTCACTAGATTGAGGCAGTACGTCCCACAACTTCAGATTTTACTTTCTCTATCACTTGGTGAAGGTATCCTGATAAATCTTGCCTATTCTTGCTAATCCTAGACACAAAGGTTTCTGTGGTCTTCTTTTTCCTTAAAATTTCATATTACTTTCTAATCTACTGCTGCTCCTGGGGGTCATCAGGGCAGCTGCATCCTGAAGTCCAAAGACTTATCCATTATCTAAGTCATTAGAATAAGAAAAAGAAAATCATTAGCAGAGATCATTGGGTAGGGTACAACATGAACTAAATAAAAATAGTAAATTTATGTTACTAATTAAAGCAAGATTTGCAAAAAAAGAAAGATAATGGAATCTTGTTTTACATATGTAACTATGTATAGCTGAAGAAAAGAACATCAGTCACTGACATTCATAAGCTTTGTGTCAAACTATGCCTAGAAACACATAACCTGGAAGCACAGAAGTTCCTTAGAGTGAACATGACAAAGTAATAATGAAAACTTATTACAATCAAGGCTTAGGACTTTAAGAGTAGTTTTTCTCGCATCAAGGCACAACATCAAAGTACCCGACTGAACAAGTGAGCACATGGATTCAATAAAGTAATTAATTACATTTGTCTTGCTTCAGATGCAACGGACAAAGGAAACGGTACTCACCAGGGTTTGTCTTCTCCAGTTGATACCATCGGTAAAACGCTCTTTTCTTCTGTTCACTCAGGTCTGATCCCTGTTGCAACAGCCAATGAGAGATACGGCTCTGGCTGATACCTACAGAGAAAGAGAAATAGTTTTTAAGGAGTAGTGAAATTATAGGGCAGTTAACCAGAGTTCTGTTGTTAGGTTACTGGGTACTTTATTCTTTGTGTCACTACATAAGAAGCTGCAACCTGGGCTCGGTACCTATAGCTCAACCGGCTAAGGCGCCAGCCACGTACACCTAAGGTGGCGGGTTCGAATCCCCAGCCCGGACCCGCCAAACAACAATGAC